ACGAACCAATTGTGAGTTCGGAGGAGATAAAGAGAGGAATAATGGCTGTGATGGAGGAGGATAGCGATATCAGAAAGAAGGTGAAGGAGATGAGTGAAAAGAGCCGAACCGCCTCCGTGATGGGTGGAGGATCTTCACACTCCTCGCTCCGCCGTTTTATCGCCGACGTTATGGATAACATTCAATAAATACAAAATATTTCCTCGTCGAACTTCCAGCGAACATTGTTTTTTGTTTTTTCACCTACTTGCGTAGTAATAAAATAGGTTTGTAATAATTAATTAATAAAATTATATATATATTTCAATTAATTAATGTTTAAATAAATTTTTTATTTAATTTATATGGTACTTATTTTTTTAAATAATTTTAATTTTGTAAGGACAGGTCCGAGGTGCCAAGCCTCAGACTGCTACAGTAATTCATTTATGACCAAAGTGAGAAATGAATCCAAAGCTTCCTGCTCAAATAGGTGCATGACAATGACAATAAGCATGCCCGCACCTGATTACTTATGACGAGTGGCACAAGAAGTATGGTGGACATCCGTGCATCTGAATACCTCTCAAATTCTCGGTCCCGAAATAATCGTCTGGATAGACACGTCAGGCTCCGATTATCCTGCTAAGCAAGCCACGTGAATATCTCACAAAGGCCTATAAATACCCCCAGGGGCCACCTCAGAAAGGTATTTGAAACCAACCATAAGCTCTTTTTATCTCCGCTCTAAAGGTAACCCCGATTATTGCTGAGTTAAGCATCGAAGTGTCTACCCCGAGTTCCACCTCGAGGCTTTGCAGGTTTTCCCGGAGTGCAAGCGCGGACTGAAGAAGGACTTCTGGTTTGGTGCAATTACATTGGCGTCGTCTGTGGGAATCGAACTGAAAGCTCGTTAGTTGCTCTTTCATCATGGTTCATACTCGATCAGTCCGAGCTGGTAACTCATCTCTGCCTCTTGGGCAAGGCCAACTCTCCAACAACCTTCCACCTCTGATCCCACCTCAAATCCCAACTCCACTTCCACCTCAGGTCCCAATTGTGTTCCCTCCTGTTGATCATGCAGAAAGAGGAGATGAAAACCAACCTCATGCCTCAGCTCACAATTCAACTTCCACTGCCAACCAAGACGTAGTGACAGCTCAGCTTGCTGCCATGCAGCAACAGTTCGGTGTTTTTCAGTTAGTACTGGCTCGGCTTTTAGCCAGAAACAATCCTGGTGACCCCCTCATTAATTTACTGAACCCTACTCAACAACCCCCAGCTCCATAACAGAATCCTCAACCGGTTCAACCTGCTCCCACTATTAGCAAATCTCAGGGTCAATCCCACATAGCACCTGCTTAACAACCCATCCCTGATGATGTTACTCGCCGCCTTGATAGCTTGGAAAAGCTAGTAGTTGAACACCGAGGTGCTCCACCACCACACCATGCTGCTGATTCTATACCTCACCCTCTGAATACCAACATTACACTGGAACCCTATCCTGCTGGCTTCAAAATACCACAACTGGAGACTTATGACGGGACGAAGGATCCCGATGATCATTTGCATGCTTTCTACTCTTGCATGCAAGCTCAAAATGTCTCTGACGCGTTGATGTGTAAGATCTTCCCCTCTACTCTCCGAGGTAATGCCCGAACTTGGTATTACAATTTACCTCCGAGGTCAATTAGCTCTTATACAGAAATGGCATCTGCCTTTGCCACTAAGTTTTCCAATATAAGGTTGATTAGGAAAACTACTTCTGAGCTGATGCGAGTTAAACAGAGGGATGGAGAATCTTTGAAGAACTATATGAGCAGGTTCAATGATGCAGTTTTAGAGGTTAGTTCCTTTGATCAAGCTGTGGGAATTACAGTTGTGATCTCCGGTCTCAAGCATGACAGGTTTAGAGACAGTTTGATCAAACATGCTGCCACCACCTTTAGCGAGATGAATGATAGGTCTCTCAAATTTATAACTGCTGAGGAATACGCCCTGGCACAAAACCTACCTTCCTTTAAGAACCAGAACCCAGATTGGAGAGATGATAACCCAAGCAGGAAAAGGATGAGGATGGCACAGAACCGAGGTCCAATGTTGACCTCCCCAACGAGAGTCGGAAGGCCGAACTCAGCGCCCCCGCAGCAATCTACAGGTAAACCTCCAGTTAATTGGACTCCCTTTAATTTGCCGAGGTCACAGATTTTTATGCAGATTAAGAACAAAATGGATTTGAGACGTCCTGGCCCAATGCGAACTGCTGCTGCTAGTCGAGACCATACCAGATATTGTGATTTTCATCAAGATCACGGCCATACTACAGAGCAGTGTAACAGTTTAAGGTCCGAACTGGAAAGTTTAGCTCAGAAAGGAATGCTAAATCAGTATGTTCAGAGAGCTGAACAACCGAGGTTTGTCAGAGAGCAAAGGCCGCAGCCTCAAGGAGTTCGCAATCCCCCAAATAGACAAGGTGTGGGATATCAGCAAGCCCCACCTCCGTTCCCACCACTAGCTAGAATCATACACATGATTACGGGAGGCCTTGAAGCAGGTGGGCTGAGCTCTAAACAGCGAAAGCTGTATGTCAGAGAGGTTAAGCATCAGAACCGAGCTCAGAAGCGGAAGATTGACGATGCTGAGTGGAAAACTCAACCCATTACTTTCACATCTGCTAATCTTGATATAGTTGTTACACCCCCACAATGATCCCTTGGTCACTTCTGTCATAATTAACAACTGTGAAGTACAGCGTGTCCTTGTTGATACCAGAAGTGCACCAGATATCATGTACTTCCATTGTTTCGAGAGTCTTGGGCTGGATCCAGCGTTGTTGCAGAAATATGATGGTCCTATCTATGGCTTCAACAACCAACCTGTTCCGGTGGAAGGAGTTCTTACCCTCCATGTGGCTTTTGGGAGTGGCCGAACCTATGTAACCCCTTCAGTCCGGTTCCTCGTAGTCAAAATGGCGTCCTCTTTCAACATTGTTATTGGCCGACCCACATTGACTGAAATCCGAGCTGTGGTTTCCCAGTCTCACCTCTATATGAAGTTCCCAACTCCTACGGGAATAGCAACACTGCGAGGAAACCAGGAGGTGGCCAGACATTGTCATATCACCTCAATAACACAACCAACGAAGGGCAAAGATCAGACACCCGAGGCCATTCCCCAGCGAATTCCTGATAATCAGCAAGTTATGGGTGTAGAGATCGTCGATAATCGACCGGACGATGAAACCAAAGCTGCTCCGGTCGAAGATGTTGAAGAAGTGCTCATTGATGACAGAGATCCGAGCCGAAAGACGCAAATCGGAACTAGATTGAACCCAAAAGAGAGAGCAGAGCTGATAGCTTTTCTCCGAGCTAACAATGATGTATTCGCATGGACTTCGGCAGATATGCCAGGAATTCCAAAATCAGTGTCTCAACATAAGCTCAGCACCAATCCATTGAAGAAACCAGTGGCCCAGAAGCGGCGTCTCTTCGGGGGGGAGAGACTTCAGGCTATTAGAGAGGAGGTAGAGAAACTTCTACAAGCTGGTTTCGTCAGGAAAGTTGATTACTACGAATGGGTGGCTAACCCAGTCTTGGTGAAGAAGGCAAACGGTAAATGGCGAATGTGTATCGATTACACAAATCTTAACCACACCTGCCCTAAGGATTGCTATCTGATGCCGAGCATTGACAGATTAGTTGAAGCGGCTTCAGGCAATGAGAGATTAAGCCTCTTGGATGCATATTCTGGGTATCACCAAGTGCCGATGGCTCCAGAAGATGAAGAGAAAACCTCGTTCTATGCTGGCGATAAAATTTATTGCTATGTCATGATGCCATTTGGCTTAAAGAACGCTGGTGCTACTTATCAGAAAATGGTGACCATCGTCTTCCGAGCTCAGATCGGCAAGAATCTGGAGGTGTATGTCGATGACATCGTAGTAAAGAGTCGGAAAGCAAAAGACCATCTAGCCGACCTCGATGAAACCTTCAACAACCTCAGAAAGAACAGGATGCGGTTGAACCAAGCCAAATGTATTTTCGGCGTGGAGTCTGGACAGTTTCTGGGTTTCATGGTGTCCCGAAGAGGGATTGAGGTTAATCCAGAGAAAATCAGAGTAATTGCCAAGATGGAACCACCGAAATCAGTAAAAGATATACAGAGGTTGACTGGAAGAGTGGCAGCCCTTCATCGATTCATATCGAAGTCAGCAGATAAGTGCCTGCCATTCTTCAAGATCATAAGGTCGGCCGCCCAGAAGGATGAATCAGGAAAATAGAAGAAATTTGAATGGAGTCAGGAGTGCCAGACTGCATTCGACGAGTTGAAGTCTTATCTTAGCTCGCCACCTCTACTGACTAAGGCCATCGATGGGGAAATTCTTTATTTGTATCTGGAGATTTCAGATGAAGCGATTAGTTCAGTTCTGGTGAGAGAAGAAGCCAAGCAGCAAAAACCAATCTATTACATCAGCAGCGTGCTACACGGAGCAGAGCTAAGGTACCCTATAGCTGAGAAAGCAGCATTAGCAGTTGTCACTTCGGCCAAGAAGTTGAGGCCATATTTCCAGTCACACCCAATTATTGTTCTCACAGATCAACCTCTCAGGTAGATTTTGCAGAAACCAGAATGCTCAGGAAGATTAATTAAGTGGGCAGTAGACCTAGGAGAGTTTGAGATAACGTTTCAGCAGAGATCGGCCATCCAAGCCCAAGCATTAGCAGATTTCATTGTCGAATGTACTCCATGTCCTTCAACCTCTAATCCAGAGCCCAACGATTGGACCTTATATGTTGATGGAGCATCTAGTAGCAAGGGTTCAGGGGCTGGCGCTCTCTTGATTGGTCTAGAGGGATACCGAAGTGAACATGCCCTGAAGTTCAACTTTGATGCGACAAATAACATGGCTGAGTATGAAGCTCTATTACTTGGTTTGCAACTAGCATTGGAGTTGAAAATCAGTGCAATTCAAGTGTACAGTGATTCCCAGCTGGTGGTAAACCAAATCAACTCTATCTGTGAAGTTGTTGATCTTGTGATGGTGAAGTATGTAGCCTTGGTGGCTGAGCTGAAGTGCAAATTCCAAAAATTCTGTCTGAGTAAAATCCCCCGAGCTGAGAATGAACAGGCAGATTCACTCTCCAAGTTTGCCTCTGATAGCTCTTTAAGTTCCAGATCCGTTTTTGTAGAGATCTTAGATGAACCAAGCTTCATGAAGCCTCGGGTGATGGAGATTAGCACAAACCCAGACACGCTGAGCTGGACTGATTCAATCGTCTCCTTTTTGCGAGATGGGATAGTACCTGAAGATAGGCAGGAGGCAATGAAGTTGAGAAAGAAAGCATCTCGGTATACCCTCGTTGATGGGGTCCTGTATAAGAGATCTTTCTCACTTCCTCTTTTACGGTGTTTAAACTCCTATGAAGCTGAATATGCACTTCGAGAGGTGCATGAAGGTGTCTGTGGGAGCCATGTCGGTGCTAGGACTCTGTCTCACAAAGTCTTAAGGTAAGGATATTACTGGCCAAACATGCATAAAGATGCCACTTACTTTGTTCACAAATGCCCGAAATGTCAATTCTTCGCACATCTAACTCACCAACCAGCAGAAGAACTCACAAACATGGTAGCACTGTGGCCATTTGCTCAGTGGGGATTGGATCTTTTAGGCCCATTCGTGAAAGGGGTTGGTGGTGTAACCCATCTGGTTGTTGGTGTGGATTATTTCACAAAGTGGGTAGAAGCTCGGCCTTTATCTAGTCTTACCTCTGAGAAGGTCGAAGACTTTGTTTTCAGCTCGATCATCTGTAGATATGGGATCCCGAATCAGATTGTGGCCGATAATGGAACCCAATTCAATTGCTCTTCATTCCGAGATTTCTGTTCCAGTTATGGGATCAAGTTATAGTTCACCTCCATTTACCATCCGGAGTCCAATGGCATGGTTGAATCTGTTAACAAATGCATTTTAGAAGGTATAAATCCGAGATTGGAACAGCATAAGGCCAAGTGGGCAGACGAGCTCAACAACGTCCTCTGGGCATCCAGAACCACGAGCCGAACTGCCACAGGTACTACTTTAAACCGAGTTTATTTGATTAATTTCTATATTATTTTCCTTCTTCTGTTATGCTTTACCTTAGAGTAAATATGCATAATGCATAAAGCGCATTCTAAAGTTATAATCAACTGAAATAGGTGAAACACCCTACCACTTGGCCTTTGGTACCGAAGCAGTCATTCCTGTTGAAATAGGAGTCCCAAGCCTCCGGGTCACCCATTTCGATGAAGGGCGAAATGGACAACTGCTT